TAGAATTCTGTAGCTTGAAGTGTAGACCAGAGCCATTATTGTGCAGAGTTTATTGTTCTTTCAGTGCAAGTTATTTCTTATTTTTCTTTTGTTGAGATGGAGTTTCGCTCTTGTTACCCAGGCTGGAGTGCAATGGTGCAATCTTGGCTCACCACAACCTCCATCACCTGGGTTCAGGCAATTCTCCTGCCTCAGCCTCCTGAGTAGCTGGGATTACAGGCACGTGCCACCATGCCCAGATGATTTTTTTTGTATTTTAGGTAGAGACAGAGTTTCACCATGTTAACCAGGATGGTCTCAATCTCTTGACCTCGTGATCCACCTGCCTCGGCATCCCAAAGTGTTGTGATCACAGGCGTGAGCCACCACGCCCAGCCCTGCATTTCTTTTTTTAATTCTTCAAGTCTGTGAATAAATTGGAAATGATTCGCCTTCATGAGTATCAGGAGACCTATTTTCAATATTGCTTTCCAGATAGACTACAACGCTAACCTGCCCATGATTTGTTATTTTTTCTGAAAATTTCATAGAAGTGCTGTGTTGTTTCTTTCACAAGGATCAGTGGACGGGCCTCTGTCTCCTCCACAATGGTCCACTGAGGCATTCGGACAACCGTCTCCTTCTCCTAAGGGAGCATGTGTGTTTAAAGAGTCTAAAACCATGCAGGAAGTGGGGAGAGGGTTTTCTTTATCCTCCTCATAGAGTACACAAGTCAGAATAAGCCTATGTCGGTTATCTGGTCTTTAACAGATCAAGAATATGGCACAGCTGCCATGATGAACAGCTCAAGAGGCTCTTCCCCTACCAGGGTGATGGATGAAGGCAAGGTAAATGTATCCATTTTGAATATTTATTTCAAGAACATTTAGCTTTTCCTACAACTCTCTCTTTCCTTCATCTCCTATTTGTGTGTTCTATCGGTACTGTCTCATTTGTTTTTCTAAAAAAGCAAACTGTTCTCCAAGAGCCTGAAGTCCCCTCAGTTCCCAGCATTACATCTTGAGCTGAGCATCCAGTAGCAGTAAGCACTTAGAAGTGTGGACTGAACTGGGCTATAAATTGCCTGGCGATATTGATCTTACTTCTGTCCTTGACTTGGGAGCGCTCCTGAAATCTGACTGATTTGTTGGGCTTTTCCTCTCTCTTCTGTTTGGTTAGACATTTAACCTGTGTAGAGCATTTGCTGTAACTGTAATTAGCTTAAGCAAAAGTGAAAAGTCTCCACTCTTCTGTATTTAAGTGTTTAATGCTCTTATGCAAAGTAAATTCATTGTAAATTGTATAATTCATTATTATGTCTTCATTTGGAAATGTTCTATTTAAGAATCTCCCTAATTGTATACTAGGCAAAACCTATTTTGAATGATCTGAAATTACAGATTGATAACAGAAGAATGTTTGTTGGTAGTGCAGTACTGAATAGTGGAAGTCTATAATTACCCATTGAGCCAGTTCTCAGCAGTGTCCTTAAACAGTATTCACATAAGTGTATTCTCTTGTAACTTGTTGAGCTGTTAAGGCTGGTAAGTCCTCTGATCATACCTCACCATGCTTCTCTGTATTGAAATCAAAGTACATTTATTTTAATGATTGAGAGTTTCCAAACCACTTTCCCATAGGAAATGAGTAGTCAGTGTCTCATAGTAGACAGTATTACTAGGGAATGAAGGTAAATAGAGTGTGCCTGTGTAGTTTGTGTATATAACATTGCTCCTCTTGGAACACGCTTTCGAGTTCCAGCACATGACTCGAGGAATACACATCTCTTGAGAAATCTTTTTATCCAAGGGCAACTTGGACAAGACCCAAGACCCGTTTGATGTAGAAGACTTCAGAGACAGTAGAGACTACTTTGTTAGAGAGGAGAAGTAGAGGTGGAAAGGACATGGCCTTGGAGTCAAACCTGGCATTGAATTCCAGCCCAGGTTCTTACATGCTGTGTACTGTCAGAAAATTATCTAATACTTTCTTTGCCTGTGTTCCTGCATATTTAGAACAAGACTGTCCTATTAGAGATTTAGAGATAGGAGAATTCGAGTTAACATATGTAAGACCTGTTGAAGGTACTCGGAATAATTGCTATGACATGGTAGAGAATGGATTTTTCATTCTGTTTCATTCTTTGCATTCTAAATATGGAAATTATTCTGATGGGAGGGATGTGCAGAGGGAGTGACTGCCTTAGAAATAGTATTAGTGAAGAATGACTTCCCTTTATAACCTCTGCTTTCCTTTCCATGTGCAGATATAAGCAATAATATGATTATAGCAAAAATGTTCCCTTCTGTGACATACTTTTAACCTTTCTAAGCTGTCGGTGTTAACAAATGAGAGCAGTAGTTGTTGCACTAATTCTGCTCTTTCGACAGGTGCCTGACATGTTCTTCATTGGTTTTAGAATTTACTGGCGTTGGTACTTTTGTCTGTCATACCAGAGTATTTGAAAGCTTCTATTGCTTCTACTCTGCAGGTTAATATGATTCCAAAAGGGTCCCCTCCTTTCCCAGGAGCCCCTCTTATGAGCACCCTCATGGGAGGCCCTGTACCACCACCTATTCGATATGGACCACTGCCTCAGTTCTGTGGACCTTTTGGGCCTCGGCCAATTCCTCCACCCTTTGGTAAGATGATCTGAACAGTAGTGATTAACTTGTAAAGCATAGTCATGTTCTCTCTCTACGCCTTTCCAAAACAACTGCAATTGCAGGGCTTTGCAGTGCAGTGATGAAGCTGACTGCTTACATTGTAACTTCTCCCCATGTTTCTTAAGACACAAAGGGTGCTGCATAATGTCCTGTGATTAGATGGACAATAATGTTCTTTAATGGAACATGGAAATGGACTATTTATAGAAAGCCAGAAATATTCAACACATGTGTTTTGAACATCTCTGTCTGTGTACTATGTTCTGCAATGGATAGCAATGTAGATAAAACACATCCCCTAATTGTCATGTGCTGTAGGGCACAGATATACGCAATCTACAACATGAAGCTTCTAATCACTCATAACAGAAGCATAAGCAGTGGGTCACAGAAAATTAGAGTGGGAAAGGTAAAGCCCTCAACCCTCAGGTTGGGGAATACAAAGGAGGGAGATATCAAAGAGAAGGTAGAATTTAACTGCTATCTAATGAATTCTGCTGATTTAATTAGATGAAGCTGGAAGACCTTTTCCAGCAGGGCAAGCACCTTGATTTTTATGGCATATTTTAGGCACTTGTTGAGCTACTACATTAATTTTTAACATACAGTAGTAAACAATGGAATTTATCAAAATGTTTGTTGTAATGAAGCCATATTTAGTCTGTCTTCTCATTATGGTATATAGTACTTTCAAGTACAAATCTCTCTCAAGATAAAGATGGCAGGCCAGGCACAGTGGCTCATGCCTGTAATTCTAGCACTTTGGGAGGCTGAGGCAGGTCGACCCCTTGAGCCTAGGAGTTTGAGACTAGCCTGGGCAACATGGTGAAATGGTGTCTTTTCAAAAAATACAAAAATTTGCTGCGTGTGGTGGTTTGCACCTGCCGTCCCAGCTACTCAGAGTCTCGGGGGGAGGATCAATTGAGCCCAGGAGATTGAGGCTGCAGTGAGCCATGATCACTTCACTCCAGTCCAGCCTGGCTGACAGGCAAGACCCTGCCTCCAACAACAAAAAAAGTATGACTGATTATATTAACATACCTGGCATCATCTTAATTTAGCTATGTTCCTAGGAATTCACTCGACATAATTTTTGTTTTCCAGGCCCTGGTATGCGTCCACCACTAGGCTTAAGAGAATTTTCAGCAGGAAAACGGGACCTGACACTCCACCCTCAGGAATTTTTACCAGGACATGCACCATTTATACCTTTAGGTCCTCTTGGCCCAAGAGAGTACTTTATTCCTGGTACCCGATTACCATTCCCAACCCATATTCCCCAAGATTACCCACCACCACCTGCCACAAGAGACTCACTACCAACAGTTTCTAGAGATGAGCCTCCTCCTGCCTCTCAGAGCACTAGTCAGGACTGTTCACTGGCTTTAAAGCAGAGCTCATAACTATGACCTCTGATGTTTCATTGGAGAAAAAATGGACTGTACGTTATTCATTACAATAAAGGATTTCGTTGGCTTCAAAATCCAAGTTTATTTTAAAAGATCTGTTGTTAGAACTAAGCTGCCTTGGCAGTATGCATTTTTGAGCCAAACAATTCAGAAATGTCATTTCTTCCCTAAATAAAAATCACCTTTTAAGCTATAGCATCCTTACTACTTTGAAATGTGCAATTAAGAATACTTGTGTTTTAGCTAATGTAGCATTGTAATTGCTAAATAATTTAGAATGTTATGAAAAATATGAACATTTCCTGTGGAAATGCTTTAAAAACATGTATTTCCATCATCCTGTTTTTAGCATACACCAGCTGAATACGGAGCAATGGTGTTTATATGCATTTTTGTTTTTCTTAAAAAACTATCTGGTCCCAAAGACTGTTAAGCTAAAAATGTTTACTAAAAGGTCACTAAACTTTCTTCCCCCTCTTGCTGAAATTCTTTGTAGTAATAGTTCATAAAAAGTTGTTTATTAATATTTCCCAAGTGTCTGTTGATTCACTGGACTGTTAGGAAGGTTGTGCCATTTGGAAAGCATGTAAACTCAGTCTCCCAGAATTGAAGATGGTGGCTGGCTGCACACTTCCAGCCACTCCCCTCAGTCACCTGTGAACTCTACAAGTGATGTCTTTTTATTTCAAAGAAGTTAGTAGGTTCCCACTTGTGTAGCATTCACATGCTTGCTTTATGACACTCATTGTCTATTTGAGAACAGTTTTCAGAGAGTGAGTTTACATTAGTAGCAAGAGTTGTTTGACCTGATGTTCTATTGCTTTTACCATTCCTGTAGAAAGGGTGCACAAGAGAAACGTGAAAACGATGTGTCATAAAGGTACTGAAATCTCTTAAATTTTAAAATGTATGGTCTCTTATCTTTCCCATACCTTGCCACTGATTTTCAAGGAATATAATAAAAAGATTGGAAAAGTATAACGCCATGAGAAAGAATGATGTAGGGCTGTGAGGCTTACAACATACCCTAGGTCAACAACCAAGGGTTGAAATTTATTATTTTTTTGGGGGGAAGGGAGGACTACACATTCCAAAATTAATATTTAAACATTGGTGCTTTCATTTAAAAATCATTAACTATCTGGAATTGCACCATACTTAAAAGTCTTATCCATTACTACACAGTGTCTTTAAAACAATGTTTCTTTAAAAACTATGTTTCTAAGAACTCTTCAGACACTTAAAATACAATAATAATAGCACTTCTTTTAAGAAGTTTTAAGATTTAGATTAAAATCATAAAAGGCTGATACTTTCCTTAATTGCTAGGCTATGTTCTTCCATTCTTTAAAGCTCTATGATATAATATTTTTGAAACTTAGTGTATGACTTGTCACTGTTTTGATATTTAATCGATTAATACCTTGTATAAAGTAGCAAAAGCTTTGACATGAAACAAAAATTTCTCTTTATACTAAATGACTGAAGATACTTTAGGAAGATAAGGACTTTGAAAAAAGGCAACTCTTTCACAGTTCATAAGGAATATATGAATTCTTCAGGAAAAGGGAATTCAGTCTGTATTTCTTCTCACTTAATATCAAGAATAGAAATTAAGAGGAAAACTACATAGAGGGTGTAGGCCACTTTTAACCATGTAAAATAAGATTAAGTCACAAATACAGCTTTTCAGTTTTCCTGTCAATCTCTTTAGAACACAAAACAATGCTGAAGTTAATAATTTCTAATTATTATTATTACTTTTTTTTAGACAAAGTTTCACTCTTGTTGCTCAGGCTGGGGTGCAATGGCACGATCTCACTCACCTCAACCTCCGCATCCCAGGTTGAAGTGATTCCCCTGCCTCAGCCCCCTGAGTTGCTGGGATTACAGGCATACACCACCATGCCCGGCTAATTTTTTTTTGTATTTTTAGTAGAGATGGGGTTTCTCC